GCAGCAGATTTGTCTGGTGCAGTGTCATTTGATTGGGGAGTGTTGCGGCTCGAAGTGTGGGAGGGGCACAGACTGCTGCTCTAAGACCCTGGATGATTTTCCCCTCAGACTGGAGGAAGTTTTGGCCATGGGGCTACGGACAGATGTAGGGATCACTCACCAGGTAAGGAGAGTAGGACGCTCAGCATCACCCCTCCTCCCTATCCTCCCTGCTCCCTTCCTCATGCTTACAGCCCCCAGGTGTCTGTGTTTGGGCAGAAGTACCAATAGTGTGGCCAGTGGTGAGAACCCTAGATTAGGAGGGCAGTGAGCTGGGTCCTAGTTGCTATTCTGCATCCTTGGGCATAGGGCCACTCACTCTGAACCTCCGTTTCCCTCAGCCATGGGGGGTGGGGGGCACAATTAGGTGATGGGTTTGCAAGTGTTTTAAAGTATCACTGAAATCTCTAACAGGAAGTGAGGTAGATGATGGCACATAAAATAGGTGCTTTGCAGTGGGTCATACCCTGGGGAGAGGGAGCAGGAGTAGAGGATGTAGCTTGGCTAGGAGCTAGGCTTTGATCTGCAAATGGGATGAGCATGACATTTCCACCTCCCTGGTTCATTGTGCATGCCAGGGAGCTGCTAAGCCCCTCATGCTGGACCAGACTCTCCCTTACCTCCCACCACACCCCTAAGCGTAGTGCCCAGAGTAGCCCAGCCTCAGGTCCTTGCACCCCTGACCCTTGGGTTCTCCACAGCACTGGCAGCAGTTTGAGCCTCAGCTGACCCTGTGGGATGTGTTTGGGACAAGCCAGGAGGTGAAGATACTGCTGGAGCAGGGTTTCTTGCTACTGGATCACAGGTGTGTGTGTGCAGGGGTGGGGAGCCCCAGCTATAGATCTGCAGACTTAGGGGAAGTGAGGAAAGACTGGTGAGAAGGGGCTGAGGATGTAGGGGCTTAGCACGGGTGGGAGTGGAGGTGGATGGGTTGAAAGTGATGAGATGGCTACTACATTCAAGCCTCTTGGTTTTCTAGGGGTCTTCGGTGCTCCTGGGAGGGTCTAGCTGTGCTGGATTCTCTGTTACTGAGCCTCCTGCCTCAACTCCAAGAAGCCTGGCAGCAGAAACCCACTCCCTAGTGCCGGAAGGATGACCCACAGTCCCTGTACCCCAGCGCAGAGCAAGGTAGACTTCGGAGGCTGCACAGCACTGCAAACGTCTCTCCACCACTGGAAGATACCATTTCTGCCCTGGGTGGTCATTGCTTAATCCCAGTATCCCTGGGGAATCACTCCAGACAGCTGGACAGGAGCACATTTCAAGTCTGAGAACTGAAAGCCACCTCCCTGCTGCCCCCAGCACTTCAGTGTGTGTGTGGGGGTCGGGGGTGGGGTGGGGGGGGGTTTGACAAAACTCCAGTTCTCAGACCAGAAACATGCTGGGAGCTGCACAGACTCTGCATCAACTCTGTTTGCCAATTTGTTTTGGAATAATGGAAATCTTTCTACAGGGACTCACACTCTGGAATGTCTTGAGTCAGGAAAACCAAATCCCCTCTAGATCATTTTTGCATTTTGAGTGAGGTATTTTCGGAACCACTGGAAGGACTAGGGACATGAAAGAAAAAGCCATTACCAACAGCTAGGACACAGAAAGTTACAGGATTCTCAGCCGGCAGCCACACTCAAGCAGATGATTTACAAGAAAACACGTGGAAGATGCTGCAGAACCTCTTGTTTACTGTCTGCCAGAGGCCATGAGTCTCTGCCATGGCCGGAGGCTTCTGCTACAGCCTCTATTGGTAGACACTAAAGCAAATTCTTGGTGCAAGAAACTCTAGGGAATGTAGTTCTCTGACTTCCAACCCCTGCAATACAGGAGTGAACATAGAGGAATCCGCTGGGGGCGCTGTGTACACGTATGTCCATCACAGCAGCCTCCTGAACTCTGAGAACAGTGGAAAAGATGAAAACAAACCGCATCCCTTCTCGTCTGGGAGGATTCACAAAGACCCTCCTGACTCCCTGTGGCCTATTCCTGTCCTGTGAGACAGTGAAGGTGGATGGAGTCAGTTGGGGAAAGGAAGGAAAAAGAAGAATTCCTGGAGGACCCAGAACATTCTTAACCCTCTTCTCTGTCTTTTTACCTACAGAAGTGGGTGATTAGGTTTTATTTAATAAACTCATTGGAGGCTGCCTTTGGTTATGGTCTGTCTTTTGTCTGGGCTCCTTCCTGGAGTGTGGGGTCCTGATTTGGGGGCTAGAGGCTTAGTCTAGGACTTAGATCCTCCTTCCTATTTAGAAAGATTTCAACCACAAATTGAATAATTTAATGTAGACCACATAGCCTTCATCTGCAGATGTCCATAGACCCACAGATGGGCAAATATCAAGGGCATCTTTAATCTATGAAGAAAGAAAATAATCACCATCTATGTTTCTAGATTTTGTGGTCATCCTGTAGATTCGTCAATTGTTAATGTTTTACAGCATTTACCTTTTGTTGTTGATAGGTGTCATCAAGTGGACTTCAACTCATAGGGATCCTATGTACAAAAGAACACTGTCCAGTCCTGCATCATCCTCACTATCATTGCTTTGTTTGAGCCCATTATTCCAGCCACTGTGTCCATCCATCTCATGAAAGGTCTTCCTTATTTTTGCTAACCCTCTATTTTACCAAGCATGATGTCCTTCTCCAGGAACTGGTCCTTCCTAAGAGCATCTCCAAAGCAAAGTACATGAGATGAAGTTTGATCATTTGTTGCTTCTAAGAAGCATTCCGGCTGTACTTTCTAAACATACTTACTTGTTCTTCTGGTAGTTCATACAATATTTAATATTCTTCTCCAACACCATAATTTAGATAAAAGCATCTGTTCTTTTTTGATCTTCCTTATTTGTTGTCCGTCTTTTGCATGCATATAAGGTAGTTGAAAATAGCATGGCTTGGGTCAGATGCTCCTTAGTCTTCAAAGTGACATCTTTGCTTTTTAACACTAAAGAAGTTATGCAGCAGATTTGTCTGGTGCAGTGTCATTTGATTTCTTGACTGCTGCTTCCATGAGCATCTTTACGTTGTTAGGGCTGTAGAGACATCTCTGACTCATAGCAATCCTATGCACAAGAGAACAAAATACTTGCCGGTCCTGCATCCTCCTCACAGTTGTTTTAACCCATTGTTGCAGTCACTGTGTCAACCTATCTTCTTGGAATGGTCTTTCTCTTTTTTGTTGTCCTTCCACTTAACCAAGCATGATGTCCTTTTCCAGGACTGGCCCCTCCTGATAACATGTCCTAAGTATGTGAGATGAAGTTTCACCACCCATACGTCTAAGGAACATTCTTGTTGTAATTCTTCTGTGACAGATTTTGTTCTTCTAGTAGTCCATGGTACCTTCAATATTCTTTGCCAACTCCATAATTCAAATGTATTAAGTATTTTCCAAATCTCCCTTAATCATTGTTCAGTTTTCATATGTGTATGAGATAATAAAAAATACCATGGCTTGGATCAGGGGCACCTTAGTCTTCTTTGCTCTTTAACACTTTAAAGAGACTTTTGGCAGCAGATCTGCCCATTGAAACACATCATTTTATTTCTTAACTGCTGCTTTCATGAGCGTCAATTATGAATCCAAGTAAAAATGAAATTCTTGACAACTTTGTTGTTGTTGTTCGGTGCCATCGAGTCAGCACCAACTCATAGCAACCTTATGCACAGCAGAACGAAACAAAGCCCGATCCTGGGCCAACCTCACTGCTGTTGCTACACATGAGGCCATCGATGCTGCCACCTGGCCAATCCATCTTGTTAGGGGTCTTCTTCTTTTTCTCTGACCCTCCACCTTAATAAATATGATACCCTTCTCCACAAACTGGTCCCTTCTGACAATATGTCCAAAGTATGAGAGACGAAGTTTGGCCATCTTGACCTCTAAAAAGCACCCTGGCTGCACTTCTTCCAAAACAGATCTATTGGTTCTTTTGGCAGCCCATGGCACTTTTAGTATTCTCCTCCAACACCACAACTCAAAGGCATCAATTCTTCTTCAACTTTAGTCTCTTGTTTATCATGATATTACTTACTGGTCCAGTTGTGAGGATTTTTGTTTCCATAGCATTGAGTAGTAATTCATACTGAAGACTGTGGTCTTTGATCTTTATCAGCAAGTACTTCAAGTCTTCTTGGTTTTCAGCAGGCAAGGTGTGTCATCTGCATGTTGTAGGTTGAGAATGAGCCTTCCTCCAATTCAGCTTCTTGAACTATATGCTCAGTGTACAGACTGAATCAATATGGTGAGAGACTACTACTCTGATGCTCACCTTTCCCGAATTTAAATCACACCGTATCCCCTTCTTCTGTTCAAGTGACTGCCTCTTAGACAATCTACAGGTTCCCCAGGTACACAATTTTTCTGAAATTCCTCTTCTTTGAAGTGCTATTCATAGTTTGTTACAATCCACAGAGTTGAAGACTTTTGTATACTCAAAGCACAACTAAACATCTTTATGGTGTTCTCTGCTTTCAGCCAAGATCCATTTGACATCAGCAATGATATATATCCCTCATTCTACTTCCTCTTCTGAATATGACTTGAATTTCTGGCAGCTCCCTGCCAATGTACTGTTATCTACAGCAGAATTTTACTTGCATGTGATATTAATGATACTGTTTAATAATTTCCACATTCTGTTGGGTCACCCTTCTTTGGAATGGGCACCAATATGGATCTCTTCCAGTTAGTGGACTACGTAGTTGTCTTCTAAATTTCATGTTATAAACTAGCACTGCATCAATTTGTTGAAACATTTCAGTTGATATTCCAACAATTTCTAGAGCCTTGTTTTACACTATTGCTTTTCAGAGAAACTTGGACTTGTTCCTTCAGTACTATCAGTTCTTGGTTATATGTGTTTGTGTGCCATGGAGTTGGTTCCAACTCAGTCACCCTATTTAGAGTTTCCAAGAAACAGCTGGTGGGTTTGGACCACTGACCTTGTGGTTAGCAGACCAGTGCTTATCCTACTGAGCCACATCAGGAATCCAAAAATGTTTGATCATCAGCCAATTCTGTTGGGTCCAGCGGTTCAGTGTACTCTTCTAGTCTTAAAAAAAACGACGAAGTAAAAGAGCTGAACAGAAAACTTCAAAGGGAAGCTAGAGAAGACAAAAGTTTTCTGATGAAATGTACAAAACCCTTTTGGTTTTCTAACTCAGCATTTCTTAAGCTAAAAGAACTGAAGAAAAACAATTAAACCTCAAATTTCAATACCGAGGGAATCTATGGGCAAAATATTGGAAGGTGTAGGAGGCATCAAAAAATGGAAAGTCAGTCTCCACAACACTGAGACCGGTGAACTAAATGGCGCCCAGCAACCACTGCTAACTGCTCTGAAAGGGATCACATTAGAAGGCCATAGATTGAGTGAGTGTGCAGAAAAGCGTGGAACAAAACTCAAAATTATTTAAAAAAAGACTAAACTTGCTGGTCAGACAGAGACTATAAAAGCTTTGCTCCATCCACATCATTAAGGACAACTCTACTTTTAGGGGAGTCCTGGTGTGGCACTGTAGGATAAACACTGGACTGCAAGGTTGGTTGAACTCCACGGTCGGCTGTTCAAACTACCAGTCACTCCTCAGAAACCCTACAGAGGGTCACTCTGAGTTGGAACTGATTTGACAGAAATGAACAACAACACTGCTTTGAGGAAATAGCCCTTCCCCAGTTGTATTTTGAGCACCTTCCAACCTGAAGGGCTCATCATCTGGCACTACATCAGACAACGCTCTGCTACTATACATAAAGTTCCCAGGGGCTAATCCCTCAGAAGTGGACCACCTATTCCTTCTTCCTACTCTGTTTTTTTTGTCTGGAAGCTCCTCTGAAACCTGTCCAATATGGCTCTGCTGGTATTTGAAACCGCGGTGGTATAGCTTCCATCATCGGAGCAACACACAAGTCACCACAGTACAACAGACTGACAGATGAGTGGAGATATTTATGTTAATATCTGCATTTTCTGCTGAACCATTTGAAAGAAAGATGTGAACAGTAAAAAGCTCTGCTAATCAGTAATCTACCTCTGTCTCTTGAGTTTGCTTGTTCCATAGATTTCATATAAGTGGGATCATACATATTTGGCTTTTG